GGCCGTTGACCTCTACGCCCGGCTACGGGTCATCCTCCAAGATTGGCCTCAACTCTTGACCGATTTCGCCGCCTTCCTGTTGCCCGAGCAAGCGCTGGAGTGCGGGCTGGTGAGTCAGCTGGAGAAGTGGGGGGAGCTCAGCTTGGTAGCGGGGGAGGTTGAAGCTGGGGAGGGGGAGAGAGAGAGAGAACGCCTGGGATCCACACCTGGTCTCGGTCTACTTCAGGTAACCCTTGACTTAACAATGGTTCATTTAGTGACCGTTCAAAGTTACGACCTCCCTGAAAAAAAGAGACTTAGGTGTTCTGGCCAAGGCTTCCCGAGAGCCTGAAGCCGACTCCTTGACCCGACAAAAAACCCCTTTTATTAATTGGCTGTGAATTCTGTTCCTTCACATCCAACAAAGTCTTTCAAAGGAGGATTTATGGTCACAGACCTTATCTGGCTTGGAGAGCTGCCAGGCCGATCTCTGCCAAAATTGTCCAGGAGTCTCGGAGAGTTACGAACCAATTAAGCGAACTAATGGTCTCCTGCAAACTCAGATTACTGCAGCCGGTTTGAGAGGGATGGCAACTTATAGGGTAATGTGATTTATGACACAGACTGAGGGAAGGAACGGGGTAAAGTTCAGCCATAAATCAAACGAAGCAGAGGCTTGACTGCAAACAGATACTGCCTGATGGTGCTCCTAATAAATGACTGGTTTTGTATTGAAAACTTGATCGATACTTATGAATCAATTAGGGCATTTTTAGGAAGCCTGACACAAAGCCAATGGGGAAGCTGAATTCACTTAAGAGCCGTGTGACTAGCTTAACCAATGCAAGGGTTCGGTTAACAACAGCGGCAAGAAAATTTGCACCCCGGGGAACGAAACTCGCTTTAACGAATGTCTCTCTTAGGGTTGTTTCGAGCAGATAAGAATATTAACTTTTTCTTTTCTTTTTTCTTTCTTTCTTTCTGCCACCAGTTTGAGGAGCAACAGGCCTTCGAGAAGAGCCGGACATTCCTTCGGCGGTTGGAGATCTGCTTTGCCGAAAACCCGTCCCACCACCAGAAGATCATCAAGGTGCTGCAGAACTGTGCGGACTGCGTACCCCAAGAGATCATGGAAGTAAGAGGTTTTCTCCCCCCCCCCTTCCTACAGACCGTATGTCTGTTGTAGCATTGATGATGTTCTCTAGTCTGGTCGTGAAAGTTCCATGAGAAAAGCACCAAGGTCAGAGAGCACCGAGGATCTCACAGTCGTCGTCCTCCTCCTCCTCCTCTCCACAATCCCCACAATCCCCATTCCCTTCTAATATTGATGATGTTACCTAGTTGGGTCATGAAACGTCTGCAAGAAAACCACCAAGCTCAGAGAGCACCAAGGACCCTACAGTTCTCTTCCTTCTCCTCTTCCTCCTCCTCTTCCTCCTCCTCTCTCCTCCTCCTCCTCCTCCTCTCCACAATCCCCATTCCCTTTTACGACTGATGATGTTACCTAGTTGGGTCATGAAACGTCTGCAAGAAAACCACCCAACTCAGAGAGCACCAAGGACCCCACAATTCTCTCTTCTTCCTCCTCCTCCTCTCCACCATCCCCATTACCTTGTAGCACTGATGATGTTACCTAGTTGGGTCATGGAATGTCTGCAAGAAAACCACCAAGCTCAGAGAACACCAAGGACCCCACAGTCCTCCTCCTCCTCTTCCTCCCCCTCTTCCTCTCTCCTCCTCTTCCTCCTCATCTCCACAATCCCCATTCCTTTCTAACACTGATGATGTTCCCTACTTGGGTCAAGAAACGTCTGCAAGAAAACCACCAAGCTCAGAGAGCACCAAGGACCCCACAGTCCTCCTCCTCCTCTCCCTCTTCTTCTTCCTCTCTCCTCCTCTTCCTCCTCCTCTCCACAAACCTCACACCTTTGTAGCCCTGATGATGTTCCCTACTTGGGTCATGAAACATCTGCAAGAAAACCACCAAGCTCAGAGAGCACCAAGGACCTCATAGTCACAGTTCTCCTCCTCCTGCCCACAAACCCTACCTCCTTGTAGCACTGACGATGTTCCCTGGCTGGGTAGTGAAAGAACTGCAAGGAGAGGCTGACAAAAAAACGCCCAAACCATTTTTTTTTTTGGTCCTTTTGTGGATTTCCAAACCATTTTTTTCTCCCCACCCAAGTAACACCGTTCTCTCCCTACCGGTGCTGTCGTTTGCTTGCTCGCTTGTTTTAACCCTCTCGAACATCTGGCTTTAGCTGAAGAACCAGATGTGGCAGCTGCTGAAAGGACACGATCATCTCCAGGACGAGTTCTCCGTCTTCTTCGATCACCTGCGCCCTTCGGCCAGCCGCCTGGGGGATTTCGAAGAAATCAATTGGACAGAGGAGAAGGAATACGAGGTGGGGGGTCTCCTTCCTAACAACACCCCCCCCCCCCCCGCCTGCCTCTTCTGGTTCTCCTGGGAAGGAGAATAGATTGGGACGGGTGTGGAGGTCGGGAGTTCTGTTCCTCCCGGCTGATGGGAGCGCGATCTGGAGCCCCCAGGAGGTAACCTGGCTCCTTTGCCCCTCTCCTCCCAGTTTGACGGGTTCGAGGAAGTCTCGCTGCCCGACATGGAGGAAGACGAGGAGCCCCCCAAAATCCACGCCGCCTCGAAGAACAAGAGACGGAAGGAGCTGGGGAGCCAGCAAGCTGAGAAGGTGAAAATCCAGCCCCCCCTCTTTGTTTCCAAAGCCCCCAACATAGCAAGGAACGTTGCATAGATGCCTTCACAGTTGGGAGTCCACATCATCCTAGCTTTGAGCCATGGGGGGGGGGGAGGTTTTGGGTCTGGAAGAGTCTCTGTGTCTTTTGCTGGCCCAACTGGGCTGGTTGTCGCCCTGAGCACCTTGTTCTCTACAGTCACAGTCTCACTGGCTGGGGAAGGCTGGGGGCAGGTAGGTAGGGATAGGTAGGTAGAGATGGGTAGATAGATGATTGATAGATAGATAGATAGATAGATAGATAGATAGATAGATAGATAGATAGATAGATAGATAGATACATAGATATAGAAAGACAGACAGATGATATAGATGATAGATAAACATGATAGATAAACAGATGATAGATAAACAGATAGCTGAGATGATAGATAGATAGATAGATAGATAGATAGATAGATAGATAGATAGATAGATAGATAGATAAAGACATGATATAGATGATAGAAAAACATGATAGATACAGATAATAGATAAACAGATATGATAGATAGATAGATAGNCCCCCCCGGACACGGTTGACCGTCATTGTAAAGACTCTGTATTTCTCAACCTTGGTAGATGTTTGGACTTCGATACCCAGAATTCCCCAGTCAGCAGGAGGGCCACTTCTCTTAAAAAACAGGCTGACTGGGGAATTCTGGGTATTGAAGTCTAAATATCTTGCTGGCTGGAGAATTCTGGGAGTTTAAGGCCCCCCCATGTTAAATTATGCTGGCTGGGGAATTCTGGGAGTCGAAGTCCCCCCCATTTTAAATTATGCTGGCTGGGGAATTCTGGGAGTTGAAGTCCCCCCCATTTTAAATTATGCTGGCTGAGGAATTCTGGGAGTCGAAGTCCCCCCCATCCTAAATTATGCTGGCTGGGGAATTCTGGGAGTCGAAGTCCCCCCATCTTAAATTATGCTGACTGGGGCATTCTGGGAGTCGAAGTCCACCTTTTTTTTTAATTGTCAAGGTTAAAAATATTGCTCCTGGTGAAACTCTTTGGTACCCAAACAACCGTAACAACTAAGGGCAGGCAATTCCTAAGTCATACTGTGTGTCCGTGTCGGTCCTTACTTGCTGGGCCATACAGTGGCTTCTCCGACAGGAATCCGTACTTGTTCAGGAACGGCGCGAAAAACTGGGGGTAGGGAGCCAAAATCTTGCAGGGCCCTTGCAGCAAAAGCAAACTGCTGTTGGGGAAAAGGACAGGGTGGTTTGAAGGGGAATGTTCTCTCTCCCCCACCCACCCCTTGCCGCCATCATCCCCTCTCCTCCTCCTCCTCGCCCAGCTGGCCGGACCACCCACCTCAGCGTCCGGGGGAAGACAGTGTGTAAGTAGCGGGCCAGCACTTCCTGGCCGGTCTCGCACATGTGAAGGACGGACTTGGGTTCAGTTCCTGGAGAGGCGTTGCTGGAAGGGAAATAAGAACCCTCAATTTACAACGGGGGTGGGGGGGGGCAGGGCTGGATCGTGAAGAGACCCCAGGAGCAACGTAATTTTTTTAATTTGGTTGCTATCTCTCCAATCGCCCGAGAGGTCACAAAAAATCTGATCATTTTTTTCCAATTGGGTCTGTTTCACACCCTCCTCAGCAGCCCAAATGTCTAACCCCATGTGTGTACAGACCCTGTAAGAGGGTGCATGCAAACCACGCGCAGACCCACCTCACTTGCTGCTGTTTGCTGATCCCTCGCAACACAACCGACTGAGCAAAGCAGCCGGCATCTCTTCGGTTGCCGCCAGACGACAACGGACACCACGCCGTGCTGGGTTGTTGGTTGTACAATGCTTCAGGAAGGGACTGGTCTTCCGCCATGGAGAAGGGCATGGCGACCGAGGCCTCTGCAACCTGGGGGAGAGAAACGTGTGTGTGTGTGTGAGGATGTCTTTTTTCGGGGGGTCTGATCCCCGGAGTTTTAGCCCCTGGTGGTTCCCCTGAAAACCAAGATCTAACCAGGACTATCTAGGTTACAACCTGATCTGAAGAAAATAGGGAGGGTTTCCAAGTACAGTTGACTTACGACAGTTCGTTTAGTGACCGTTGGAAGTTGGAACGGCACAGAAAAAAGGAACGGCGCAGTTTTTTTCACACTCAACAAAACAAAACGTTCAAAAGTTATATTTTTGTAGTCAATTGACCAAGCTCATCTAAATGATATTAAAGTGACCACAATATCTTTGTGATCCCCCAAGGTGCGTCGCAACTTTTGAGCATTCCTCGTGTTTGGAAAACGGAAAGTTGACAAATCTGACACGCCCTTAAAAAGGTCATCCTCGCCTTAACGACCATTTATTATCTTTTATTTCTTCATCAAATTTGGTGGCTGCCCGTCCTAACCCTGAGGTAATTCTTGGCGGCTTTACGCTTTAGAGACTCTTCAAAGTTACAAGAGCTTTGAAATAAGAGACTTATGACCATTTTTTCACACTTACGACCGTCCCCGCAGTCACGTGATTGTAATTCAGACGCTCGGCAACAGTTGGAGTTTCCTGCCGTCACACGATCCCATTTTATGAGCTTCCGACCAGCAAAGTTGCCGAGGGAATCCTGATTCACTTAACGACCGGGTGACTCACATAACAACCAGAATGGTTCATTTAACGATGGCAAGAAATCATAAAATGGAGGCAAAACTCAATCAAGGTTGCTCACTTAGCAAGATAAACGTTGGGTTCGTTGTGGTCGCAAGTCAAGGACAACCGTACCTTCCTTCCGGAAAAATTCAGGGTTTCGGTCAGGTTGGAGATGGTCATGTCCGACGTCTGGAGCCGGTAGGGGATGGTCAGCGTGTCCAGGGCGGTGGCGAGAATGGCGCTCGTCTGATAATCCAGAGATGGCTAGACAGAATTTATAAAAATGATTTAAAAAGAGATAGTTTAACAAAATTCTATTCGGGACGGTTTTAACTGTAGGTAATCCTCGACTTTCGACCATATTTGAGATCAGCCTTTCTGTGGATAAGCGAGACGCTATCGAAATCTGGACGCTTGGCAACTGTGCTTCCTTTTTATGACAGCGGCCGCTTCCCGCGGTCCCTGGGGTTTCGTTTTTGCAACCTTCCGACTAGCAGAAAGTCAAAGGGGGACGGTTCGGATTTGCTTTACCACCCGGCAGGGATTTGCTTAGCAATGGTGGCCAAGGAAACAGAGCAAAAAGCACTAAGTCTCGCTTAGCCATGGAAAATTTGGACTTGGTGGCGGTCGTACGGCCGAGGACTGCTTGTGCCCAGAACTCTGCAAGCAGGATCGAGAAGAGGAAGGGAGGTGCCCAGTCCAGAATCCTTGAGGGGGGATCTCCCCATAAATTCCACCCCACCCTCGTTCTGCGGCCCCAAAGGGACTCACCTCGTAGTGGAGGTACGACAGGGCCACTGGGCTGCCCGGTTTGAGCCCCAGACTTCCGTTGAGCGACAAGGGGCAGAAGAGGGAACTCTGGCTGGACAGACGGACGATGCCCAAAACTGTGTTCATCAGCCGGTAGAAATTCCGATGGGGGAGCTGCTGGGAAGGGAGAAAAGGCTGATAGCAATAGCAGTTCAACTTATATACCGCTTCATAGGGCTTCCAGCCCTCTCTAAGCGGTTTACAGAGTCAGCATATCGCTCCCCACAGTCTGGGTCCTCATTTCACCCACCTCAGAAGGATGGAAGGCTGAGTCAACCCTGAGCCGGTGAGATTAGAACCGCTGAACTGCAGATGAAGTGGCCTGCAGTACTGCACTCTACCCACTGCGCCACCTCGGCTCGGTTATAAGATTGACAGGCGTTTTGTTTTTTTTTTCAGAACGGGAGCAA